ATTGAAGCCTTTTTTGAAGAGTAGGTAGAATAATGATTTATTGCATAGGTATTCATTAATTTTTGAAAACTTTTATTATAAAATTCTGTTCCAAAATCAGTTTGTAGGTTTTTAGGAATACGACCATTTTGCAAATTTTTTTTAAAAGCATCACAAACCTCATTTTTTCTTTTAGATTTAAGTGGACACGCCCAAGCAAATTTTGAAAATGTATCAATTACAACCATAATATATTTGAAACCTTGATTTTCATTGCACATTTTTTGCATATCGATCAAATCAGCTTGCCATAGGTCATCGATATCTTTAGTAACAACACATCTCCGTGGAAAATTTTTTCTTGCGTTTCTATGTATTTCGTTTACTATGTCTCTTTTGCTCATTTTGAGAATATTTCAACTCAATTTTCGTTTCCAAATTTCTTATTTTATTGTTTATTTCAGTAATGAATTCTTCATTTCTGTTCTTAAAATTTTTTAAAAATTCTGATATAGACTTATCAACGTATTCTTTCGTAGCGCTATCGGTGGCATCTACTGGATTTTTTAGATGTTTGATTATTTTGTTTTGTGCATTGAAATTATCATCATCAGTGTATGTTAAAATACACTGCAAAGGAAGTAAATTAGTGGAAAATCTTTTTTTCTTAAAAATATGATGCCCAAATTTATCTACATTCATGTTGAAGCTGTTACTTTATACTGATTTACATATATAAGATATTTTTCTTTTTATTCCTTGATTATACCTGCTTCCTTCAATTCTTCAATAATAGAAATTATTTCATTATCATGGCTGGTGTTGCCTGCGTCTTTAGAAGCGACTAGCAATTTTAGTCTTTCAATTAACTCATTTGGATCATCCCAATAAATAAAATCAGTGTTACGAGCATATTTTTTTAAATTTGGTATACCAGAACCAAACTTTTGATTATTTTCTAGCTCAGTTTCATTAAATAAAGGTTTTATAATGTCACGATATTTTATACTTTTGTCACCTCTTATTTGTCCCTGCGGATTGTAATCTCGTCTATGAGCACATGTATTATACAACATATCCTTATATATTAGCTGATCTTTGTCTGTGACTAATGTTAAATTAGGTTTTTTACAAAATAATAATTCTCTTAAACCGGATGACAGTTCATATTGCTTATTTTCAATATTTATCAAATTAGTTTTTTCATTATTGCTGGGATTAACTAGGGTGGATAATTTGACTTTTGAATTCCCCATGAATAAATCTCTACCTACGCTGCGTACGCCAAATGGTACATTTAAGCTGTCATAAATATCTGCAATTTCATTCTTTTTTAACGACCTCTCTAAAACTTTATTTATCATAGTTGGACTTTTAATAATATCATCATTTTTAGAAGTTTCAGACACATTTGGTGGATCCATTTCATCTAAACTAGCTGAAGTTTTATATAAATTTTCATGATCTGAACTTGCATTTCCTACATATTTAGAAGCATCCTCTTTTTGCGATATTGTATTTTGAATAGGTTTATCAATTTTAAGGAGTGAATGCAACGGCTCAACAACAGGTCTTAAAATTTTGTTTACTGATAAATTAGTCAGTTCTTCATCTTTTTTCATATTTTTAATTTTCTTTTTTATCGAACAGACTGATTCAATCAAACGTGATTTTATGTCTTTTTCCATTTCACTATATTTAAAATTAAACGACTACTGTTTACAAATAAAAAAATGATACTAATCATGTTAAATTCAAGAAACATATTTATAGCTATTTAAAATTGAAAAAGACATCAAATCCTTTTCTGTATCTTCCTTTGTCTACAGCACAATCCTTATTAATGATTACAAAACTAAACGGTTCTTTCCATACTTTTGAACAAAGATTTTTGAATTCAATCCAAGTTAAATCAGTATTTACGTGTTCGTCATATATGTGTTTTAGATTTATATCATCTTGCTTGAATATTATCAAAAAGTTAGTGTTATCTCGCACTAGCTGTTTTGGAATCTTTGAATATGTTTGAGACAAATAAAAGCAGTCTACTTGTTTATGTCTCCCCATTGCAAAAAAATTACGAATATTACTTTGGTTATCACAAACTACATCATCAAAAATCATAATAGAATTATTCAAAACATCATTAGGATCTATAACTTCCTTTTCATTATTAAAAATAAAAAACTTTATTTCAGGAATCATTTTCATAACTTCATTTAAAAATTGATACTTCGGTTGAAATGCCGTTTTAGAATATAAGTATAAATTTTTAAATTTCAAACCATTTTCATGAAGCAGTAAGCTTAACATCACATTAGTTTTACCACAGTTAGACGGTCCGCATATTAAGCAGCGTATTGAATTAGGTAGTAGTATGCTATGTTTAACGAAATCCTTGTTTTCTAAAATCTGTACATTGTATATTTCTATTGAAAGTGGTTGCTTTATTAGCTTCATGGTATTGACTGATTACTTTTAAATAAAAATAGTCTTTTATATTTTATGATGTAATAAAAAGTAATTCATCTTTAAATTTCACTAATAATAATTTTAAATTTAAATTCATCAAAGCTTTTACGCATCAGCTGGGTATAATAAAAATAAAACAATATTCATATAGAATTTTATAATCTTTATTAATTTTCTACATTAACTTCTCAAACTCCTGTTTACATATAGTTCAAATAATATGTACCAATTATAATTTAACTATTTTACTTATTATTGTAAATAAGTGACATAATCAGTATAATATGTTATCCCAATGCCCCCAAGGTAAAGTTTGTATATTGTCTGTTAAAATCTGTCTTTTGTCATCACTTCGATCAAGTACAGTTTTATAAACTTCTTGAGTATACAAAACATGTTTAAGTGACCGAATAACATTCATTTTTTGCTTGTAGCGTTTATCAGTCATCAAAGCTTTCTTGAATTTAGTCGTAGTAATTTTCTTTGTAATAGGTCTAGAAATACCTTTTGCTTTTTTTATTTGAGTATTAATACTGTTTATACAATACAATTTTGCTCTCAAACCAATGAATTCAGTTAGCACGTCACCACCTAATTCGTCTTTAAATAATCCAGGAATTTTGTTATTCATTTTAGAAATGCCATATATATTATTATTTGGAAAGTTACTTGTATCAAAATTTAAAGAATTTTCTTTTATGTCCGCAAATATATCGTCTGTTTCTATCAAATAAAGTAAGCTATCAGTATCTGTATAGCAAAGTTTCGCACAGTCGTGATACTTCTCTTTAATATAGTCATAATGAAATTGGTATAAATGTTGCTTGGCGTATTCCAAAACAGTAAATCCAATGTAAATGGGTCTATCTAACAGAACTTTTTCATATTCCAATTGAATCGCAACAAAGTTTTCATCGAAGATTGATATGCTTTTAAAATTAGGTTTTGTCAATAATTTTGCGGCACCAATGCGTTTGTTAGATACGTTATTATTATCTTCCCAACGTGATACTAATCTTACATCGACTTGTTTTCTTCTGTTTTCAATTGTTTTCCCAAAAATTGAATTATTTAGTAATTTAAACAAATCTTTCTGAAAATTTGATTTAGATGCTTGACGTAGGCGAGTATTTAAATCAATGTAATTCTTTAAAAAAGGTTCTTGACGAAAACTTAGTACCCGATATATTTTTTTTAAGATCAAACCATGTTTTAAACATAATTTCAAATGAACGTAGTGAATAACGTATTTATTTTTATTATAAAGATTAGCAATTAATTTATATGTTTTACCACCTGGAGGTATTATTTTTTCTGGTGCAAATGGCAAATCACTATGAGCATTATGGAGGTGGTCTGGATAATCTAAGTCAACCTCTAAAATATAGCCATATTCCGACTCATCTGTTATATTTAATACATTAAAATTCGTTTTCTCATCTTCAGATAGTAAACGGAACTCAGAAATGACGCTGTGTTTACATTTGGGTAAAACCATTTTTTTTTTAAACTGTAAATGACATTCCTTTACCAGTCTATATAAGTAGTTAATATAATAATATAAATGAAATTCTTTGTATGTTGATAAACAGACACAAAAGAAAAAGTAAAAATACAAAAAAACTTTTATAACTTTTTGAAATAATATGTTGAAAACTGATTTTACAAGTTTTGAGAAGTAAAATATGAAAAGTAGACTTTTATAAGTTTTTAAAAACTATGAAAACTGGACTTTTCTAAGTTTTTGAAAACGTGAATTGAGAGAGATGGATCTTCTTTGATCCAGCTCGCTCAATTCACCACTACTATAAATAGGCATATAAAACAGTTCAGTACCTGTTTGTCAACTGATTTCCTTTTTCTTTCTTTTTTGTTTAGTAGCTTTTAACGAGCTTTAGATCAATAAAAGCATCCAATTGGGAACCGATTTTTATAGAATGGTTATGGTTGAATTTCGACCAATGGCCAAGGTGGTATATTAACTTAGCCTCAATTAACGTAGAGCGGTAATTACGGTCTCGTTAATTTCGTTTTGGTGGTATATGGTTCGATTTAATTTGTGTCTAAAATATACGTATCTACAAAAATGGTGCTTCAATTTTTTTTCTATCTTATGAATTTATGATTAATAAAATTTATATGGGGCCACCTGGGAGGCATACCCTTTGAAACAAAAAAAATCCAATTAGGTTCAGGCATCTCCGAGTAATCGGTGAACATACATAAAAACAGAGAAAAAAAAAGATTCCGGCGAATTGAAAACCGCCTCCTTTTTGGAACTCGGTTAAAAAGGATTTCTAGTGATATATTATACTGTAGTATATCTCTGTACGTTGTGCACTATAATAATGACATGACACAGATAGACAATAGATTAGTCTCAATGACGTATCCAAAAATGGTTAAAGAAGACATTATAATAATTATATTATCTCCGAATTTTAAGATCACACAATATGATTTATTACTGAATACAAAAACATTAAATGATAAGTTCAGCTCGTAATTCATATAGAATTATTTATTAAAGCATTTCGTTTCATTTTCAGACTGACCCCTACATACGCTCTTGTATTAGCCACTATCAGTACTTGGATGAGGCATCTAGGTAGTGGACCCTTGTGGGACTTGGTCGTCACAAGCGAATCTAACTTCTGTAGGCAATATTGGTGGGCAAATATATTTTACTTTAACAATTATTTATACTACAAGGACAGGTGTTTCCCTCAAGCATGGTACGTTTCTATTAATTTCTAGCATTTTCCTTAAAATATTAGACGTTGTTTAAAGTATTACTGACATTAGTTTTTGAGCCTTTCAATTATAATTGTCTAGATCTGTTTAGCCGTTCTGGTGTAAAAGAGCAACCAACATCCATCCATCCTCACAAACTTCACAACTATGAGACTCAAATTTGTATTTCTAGTAATAGTTTAAAATAAATGTTTATTGCTTAAATTACTCACACAGTTTGAAATTATTTCTTTAAAACATATGGTAATATCTTAAAATTCCACCCATTCCAAAACTTGTTTATTTGATATAAAGTAATTTTTTTTTTGCTTATTAGGTACTTAGCAGCTGACACTCAGCTTTTCTGCTTGGCTTTGATTCTTTTGGTGATCGTCCAAAATCAAAAATACAGGAAGGTGTTACTCATATTGCTGTTTTTGATTTCACTAGTCATCACAGGCGCAAGTACTTACTTCTTCAATTTAGATGCTGTAGTCTTACAATCGCCTGAGTAAGAATTTCTTTAATTTCCAATTATATACGTCCTTTAAATATACTGAGAGACTACTTTAAAAATACTAAGACTAAGCTACAAGTGTTATTTTATTATTATTTCTAATAATGCTAAATGCATTTCTAAAAACTAGCGATTTACCCTCGTTTCACTCGGGTGCATGCCTAGTTACGTTTTAAACAAATGAAAACAGGCTTTTAATTCTTTTTGCGCGGAACCCTTGTTCATTAAACCTTTTGGTACCCTAAGTTACTCCTTATACACCATATATCTGCCAGTGAAAGTCTCGTCAAAATCGGTCCAGCCGTTTCGGAGATTAGCCGGAACAAACAGACAGATGCACAATTTAAAAAAAATGTTTTTTTTTCTTATAAGTGCTCTCTATCATTTCATATATACTGAGTAAAAAAACTTTTATTTTGACATTACAAGCATACACTTCAATTTTATTTATTTGTATGTATACTGTATAGACTGACTCGCTTAACTCGGTTATGCAGGATGAATAATAACTACATACTACGTCCTATCATCTTTATGCAGATGACTTGGAAATTTATGCGACTACAAATGTAAATTTACATATATGACATTGCTAAGGCTATTGGAAATATTAATTTCAACCTCGAAATTATTAGTACCTGGTGTAAGTCATTTGGTTTGTGTGTTAATCCGAGCAAGTCTCAAGTAGCAGTCTTTGGCAATTCTAAACAACTTTCTAAAATACATTTTCCTCTCCTCCCTCCCATTTCATTTAATAATGTCCATTTAGAATACAGCAGTAGTGTTAAAAATGTAGGGATCATAATGGACAGCACTTTCTCCTGGACACCTCAAGTTGCCCAACTTAGCCGTAGGATATTTCTTGCTATTGGCACCTTGAGAAGGTGGAAAAACTTATTGCCGGTCAAAACCAAAATATTATTAGCCAATTCCCTTTTATTGCCGATACTCGACTATGCTGACTCCTGCTACCTAGATTTATCTCAGCAATTACTCAATAAGCTTGAGCGTCTCCAGAATCTTATTATAAGATATATTTTTGGACTTAGGAAGTATGACCACATTACGCAATATCGGACACAGTTGAGATGGCTAACAGTTCATAATAGACGTAATTTACACGCGCTTTCTTTATTATACACAACCCTTTACCATCCTCAAACTCCCACCTACCTCAAGTTCCCAGCTCGCTCTAGAGCTTCGCTCTCGCAGTGAAAGATTACTATAAATCCCATTAGTCCATTCCAAATCCTATAGTGAATCTTTCACTATTAAGACGGTGAAGCTCTGGAACGAGCTTCCAAATGAAATAAGACAGTCCAAGTCAATAAGCATTTTTAAAAAGCGTCTCAAAACACATTATTTGTCGCTTTACAACTAAGCTGTCATTTTAGTTGCATGTATTATATTATTGTGTATATTATGTATGTTTATTATTATTTTATTATATTATTATGTATATGTATGTTTAAGTATTTAAACAATAAATATTTATTGTATAAATAGTATTTTATATATGTATTTTTTATGTATGTTTATAATATGTAATACGTCTATTGAGTACACTTTATGCACCTTTCCGCTTTCTGTTAACTTTTGTATCCTACTTCTAGCGGTTGCCTGTAAGAGATCACTTTTAGTGATAAGGCCGCCTTTGCACATTTCTTTAAATTTTTTTTTGTATGTATCATTTTTATTTTTGTGTGCAATAAAGTGTTTAAATAAATAAATAAATACATAATAATTATATGGAACTAGATGGTGCTGTGTGTTAATGTCCCAACATATTTATTTATTTATTTTATATACATATGATAGAAATTCACAGTTGATATTGAGCTTGCCATTTAAACAATTTATGTCTAAAATTTAAAATATATTATTGAATAAAGCTTATTACACTATCACGGAATACTTTGAGGATGTCAATGTGTGAGACTAATGTCTGGTTGGGCCTCGTGTAGGATAAGCAGATAAATAATTATATTGTAAACAAACATTATTTTAAAAGAGCAACTGTTGAGTTTCTCGCCGGCTCTTCTCAGCAGAACTGTCTTCTGAGTCAGTGGTAGATTCGTCACGGACGCACACTCTAAAATTTAATTTAAATTTTGAAAATGTGGAAGTGACGATTCAAAAGTGCTTGTAAAAGCCTATTTGAATAAAGTATATTTTGAGTTGATTTGATAAAAAATATTGAATCCATTCTTCAAACTCACTGACAGATAAAGCCCTGCCAAAATGCTGGATCTGAACATGGTTTATTTTTCATACATGACGAAAGTAGAAGGATTTTAGAAAATTCATCTATCAACAAGGAAATATTACTTTTGAAAGTTTACCTTAGAGGTGAAAGGGTTTCCTACTACTTCATGCTCTCTGTTTCTAAGGAGTTTATATATCTTGATTCTAATTGATTGATCTTCTAAAGAAATAATATATTTTGTTTGTTTTTTTTTTCAGGACATATCGTACAGTCTATGCCCATGATGATACATTCAATTTAGTATACATCAGAGGTCACACAAACCTCTCAGCTTATATCCTTGGACTCACAGCGGGTCTTCTTACTTACAAATGGCAAATGGAAGGAAATGATTTGTCTAAATTAAAGGTTGGCTTAATAGATTTTTAATCAAAAAAATAACACTAGTACTTAACGAAACTACAAAAACAAATAACTTAATTTCGCTTGCCTCGAGTGCGGGTACCTTTTGTAGATACTTATAAAATTATACACTGGCAGCGCCATCGTTTGGCAAATTTTATACCTATCTGTCTACTAAATTTCATTCAAATCCGGCCAGCCATTCCAGCATGAAGCAGTAAGTAATGTATATACACTCGATTTTTTGTCCATTTATTACAACGCAGAAAATATTTCTATTTTCAGAAGTATCGCTGGGTCATGTGGACGTTGTTTCCACTTGGTGTATTAACCATTCTATCGGGCGGCTTCTTTTACATCGATGACTACACGCCCTCAACCCTCATCATAGTACTATACGCCTCACTATACAAGCCCATCTTTCAAATAATTTTATTAACTTTTATAGTAGGCTGTATTTTTAAATTCGAGCGTAAGTATAATAGAGACACATATACATAGGTTTTGCTTTTTAACTTTATCTATACAACATTTAACATTTTTCTGAAAAAAAAAACGTATTTTCTTTAAATATTTATTTAGAGCCCTTTTCTATCTACTCTTATGCTGAGAATGTCATAAAGTGCCATCTATTGAACGAGCGCCTACGGTGAACGACGCTTGCTCGCCCACGCACTCAAATGATGATGGTATGATTACTCTGTGACCAAAACTCTTTAAAATAAGTATTAAAAAAATCAAATATTTACGTCTTAATTAAAAAAAAATTTAAGTCGCTATTTGTTGTTAGATAAAATTTTAAAACTATTATAAATAACACTATTGCTTCAGATTTTAGAAAAGTTAGGTTTATTAAAATGTTAAATAATTGTGAAAGTATTATTAAATTAATTATGATGTTACAGCTGTACAGCGTAAAATACTAGAATGGCGAGGTTTCACTTGGGCAGGTAGAGTTACGTACTGCGCGTTCCTGCTCCACACTGTGTTTCAAAGAACCTACGTCGGCAGTCAAACAACACCTTTAGTCATGTCGGATTATTTTGTTGTGAGCATTTAATTTTATTCTACTTGACGACTATCATTTGCTAAATGTAAAAAAAGGCCGCGATTAATCGTTGGATTTAAATTCAATGTCATTTTTAAATGTTTCATTTAATGTCATGTACTTAGTTGGAATAAAAAAAAACAAATATTTAAGTAATATTTTTCTTTCAAAGTTAAATGAAATAAAACTTCATACATATAGACTTATACAAGCGCGTTTAAATCCCATGTTCATTCCGTAGTTAATGTCCCATGGAAACTACTTATTGTATTAGAATAGTAATTATTATAACTCTCTGATTTTGAACTATTTCCGAGTAAAGCAGGTTCAATTCCCTGTTGATGTAGAAAAGAAAGGCAAACCGATAAATACACTTTCACATCTATACATAAATAGGCAAAGATAAAACAGTTCAGTACCTTTTTCTCCCTTGTTTGTTCACCGATTATCTTTTTTTTGGTTTAGTATCTATTGATGAGTGTTTAGTGCTGTCAATAAAAAATTTGGAAACAGTTTTTTTATAAAGATATATTTCAAGTCCTCCATAGACCTATATAGATGATGTTTTCTCCTAGCCGATTCCGGCCACGGCGGCCAATCTCATTGAGACTAGCCAACTGCGCAGGAGATATTATAGTGCACAAGTGTACGCGTAGACACAAGTGCACTCTTTATTCCTGTCACTCTCATACTCTGGTGGGACGACCATAGTCCGAAAAATAGGCCGAAAATAGTCAGGAGGACTTATTATTAGACCAGTTCTTATAAAATTGGTTAAACCGTTCTGAAGATTAGCAGATACATACAGCCAGATATACAAAAACATTTATATAATCTTTAATTTGGGCAATCTAAAAATACTAGCTTAATATAAGATGATTTTTATATCAATTTGGCTTTTCCTTCTAGATGATGTTGCTTTGTTCTTCAATCTTCTTCTCGTATGCATGTGGTGCAATTCTTTGGCTTTGCGTAGAAGCACCTGTTGCTGGACTGATGCGTGCTATACTTGCGCCGAAGAAAAACAATATGGAAAAATAAGTTATAAACATAGTTTTTATGGTATTAGCATAATTTTATCCATAATAAATAAGAATTTAAAATTTTATGTATTTTTATTGTTCTAAAATAACTTATACATATATTATAAGGTCTTCAACAATTGTGAAATTATATCGTGGCTGTTCTTACTCTTTCTTTTCTTATTGATCTTAACAAAATGTGACAGTCCTAAAATTCTAAGTAAATATTGTTAATAAAAATGTAATTTTGCGTGTATTTTAAATATAAAAGACGCTCATTTTAATTTTATTTGCTCTCAAGATACTTACAAATTAAGCTAACATGATAGCAAATTACTTATTACTGTTAATAACTAGAAAAACAAACACACCAAGAAATATTCCTTTTTTGAATTTAGTTAAAAGAAGATAATTACTGAGCAGTTCTGTCAAGTAGAGAGAGAAATCAAGTAAAGTTTATAATAAAAAAATTAAAAGTATAAATGATAAAAATGTATATTGCTGGTTGGTTATCCAACCAAGTGCAAGTCTGACTCGCATACCATGCGCAGTATTAACTATTAAATTTATGTTTTGTGCTAGCAGATCACCCTCGCTTCGCTCGGGTTCGCCCCTAGAAAAACAGAAACAAATCTATCCCACGAAAACTGTTCATTTTTCCGGGATAAAAAGTAGCTTATATGCTATTTCAGACTAATATATCTCTGTATCAAATTTCATCCAGATCCGTGCAGCCATTCTGGCGTGATTGTGAGAGACAGAATGTGTATGTTGGCACGTGCCGAAAATTCGAATTTACATTATATTTATTTATATATTATATTCAAAATTATCGAAAAATGGAAAAAACAATGACACCATACAAATCTTAAGTATATTTAACTACTCCACTAGGATATAACTTTGAAACTGTTGGTTTAATCAAAAAAGCTACAGCTAACTGAAATTTAAAGACCTATTTAGGGATAGATAGAAACTTAAGAAGACTTAATTTTTTGCCACCAACATGAAGCCACTTCATTACAAGTTACCTACAAAAATCCAGGCATGTAGTCCCATCAGTTTTCGAGTAAAATGGCTATGATATACGGATAGAGGTAAATGTTGAAATTATGAAGGTTTTGTTTAAACTTTGTGGCTATGAAAATATAAAAATATTTTTTTTCTCTTGGATATATTCGGAATGGGGATAATGTATATCTTCTTCTTTTTTAACATTGGAAAAAGCATTTTAGTTTTTGGGAATTGAGCGTCGCATAGCTTATGCACTCCACTACGGCGCCCAGATGGCAGGCCTGCCGAAGCAGACCACAACAACCAAGGGCCTGCTACCACAGTCCACACTGCTATCAGAAAAGTGCCAGGAGCAACCCGCGTGGGAGACGTGATCCCAGTGTGCATCTTGGCTTCACGCCCGGTTGGATTGCCGGATGCTAATAAGCCCCTCCACAAGGAACACACATCAGGCGAGAATAGCTTTACCTCCTACTTAACTTCTCAGATACTTCTCTTTTTCTTTTATCCCCTTTAGGAGATCAATTTTCAAAAATCCTTTTTTATTATAAAATAAGTTTTTGCTAATATGTATACTTCAAAGCCACAGTTTTAAGTTCTAATAGTAAGTCAATTCATAAATTTAAGATTTTGCTTTTCAATAAGTAAATGTATGTAAATAATGTGACAAAAGAATACTGATTTTATGTCTTATGTTTTATGAATTAATGTCTTCTGCTGAGATTATAATATGTTGTTATAAAAGTGCAATTTCCATAACTATTCTAAATTTGATACAGAGTAGTCGTTATTTTTTATTGAATAAAATAAAAATATATAAAAAGTTGTAAGGTAGTTGTTTAGAAAAATGAAGCGATCTGTTATATATTTGCTCATTTTTCTATTGAAAAGAACTTATGCAGTGATTTATAATTTAAACGGTAAGTGTTTAATAATTCTATGTTGAGCTTAAACCATTGACCGTTTATGAAAAAATATACTGTGTTTATATATATATATATATATATATATATATATATATATATATATATATATATATATCTTTTTAAAAATTAAAGAAAGTAATGCAAAAATCATGATAATCTACTTTTGGACATTGTAGGAATCCATGTCTCAGGAACTATGAGTCAAGTAATGTACTAATTGAAAGCACTTAGCACAATCATAAAAATATTTTTTAATTTTATATAAGAAAATATACGAAGGTAGAGCATTTCTCGTAAAATGCCATTTATTTTTCTATAGTTTTATTTATTTCGTTGCTCAATTACTTACTGCCAAGAGGTGCGTGCGTACATTAGACCACGAATCCCAATATGTGCTTAATTTAAATAGAACTATTAAATATGATTGTTGTTTTTGCTTTATTATTTTAGATACAGAATATCGACGCATGCCACCGATATATCAGATCGATAATTTCGAAGATTGTTTCATCTCTCCAAACAACGTGTATTGCTCAGTACATTTTAACCTCGTGTCGGATCAGCCCAGTGAATTGCTTCATCTCATACAGGTACGAGAATAATCTATTTCTTCTATATAAACAAAAATTATGTTGGTAAGCGCATAACTCAAGAATAGCTGGACTAATCCGGCAAAAATTTTTTTCGTACGCTCCTTAAGGCCCATGGATGGTTTTAATAAAAAGAAAAAAAGAAAAAAAATATATGGCTAACGCTAATAACTATTTACATCTATTTAAAACATACATAGCGACGAACCCGAAGGAAGCGAGGTTGAGCCGCTAGTTAAGAAATAAAGTTAAATTATAAAAAAAAACGAGAGCGTAAAATCGAACTAAAACGATGGGAACAAGTTGACGAAGGTACATTATATATAGTGCTATGCAGTCGGAGATATATATGTTTTATACTTGCTGCGAGTCTTGCTACGTGTATGTATATCCTGCAAGACATGGCACTCGCGTTATCAAGACGAATCTCATCGTAATCAAAATAGGTTATGCTGTTTAGTAATTACTAGGAAACATAAGGTTCGACATACATACATATGTATGTACCTGCAATACTTATGTGCCTAAATAAATACATATATACAGGTCAAACACATACCTAACACTCTTTTAGACTTAGCTGCAGTCGTGTAAAAATATTTTTTTAGTAAACGTATGTACTTCTCTGTTAATTTTCAAGTATTTGAAAGATTGACATGATATAACACTTTGGCCTATTTAACAAACATACCACATTTTATAGTAAAGTTACTCAACAATGTAGAGAGATATTATTTTATCCGATTAATAAATATTTCTTTTGTATTATAATAGCCCAATAATTAAATAACGTTTTAAAATAAAACGAACTTTTCGGATTTTTAAGCGGATTTATTTTAATTTTTGATTCCCGAGGTTGTTATATGTAACACCTATCTAATCACTTTTGAGACCTCTAAACCCCTACCTCTCTTACGTGACTATGATTGCTGTAAAATATTCGAATTGTCGGGAACCAAAAATCAAAATAAATCCGCAAAAAAATCCGAAAAATTAGTTTTATTTTAAAATGTCAAATATTCGCGTAAATTAAAAAAAGTATTAATTAAATAACGTTTACTATTGCTGATCAATAATTTAGTTTTATAACATATTTAATGTTTTAGGAATATTCCAAACACATAGTAACACATTACAACCACACTAAGTTAAGATATGGTGTGTGTGTTACTAAGAGCTGCCAACATATACGGAATGAATCAGCGGTCTCAAGACACGCCCTTGAGGAATGCCTGAATTCGAGTATGTGGGAAAATTATGAGTTGAAGACGCAGGTGGAGAATTATTCCTGTTATAACCAGTATGATAATAATTATATAGATACAGCAGATATTATTGTTGGTGTTGTCCTGATGTTTATAGTCCTACTGAATATTGTTGGAAGTATCTATGACACTTGTTCAGGAAATACTAAAGGTAAATAATAAGTATTTTTTTTAACTTAAGAGATGTACCAACTTCAAAAAATAAGTTCTACATACATCGTTACTATAAGTACTATTGTATAACAGAAAAGTAATGAACAGTGAATAAATTTTTCACCTTACGCACATGTGACGGTAGCGAAACGGTCAAGCCACTTATTTAGACTAAGGTGTAGAGTTTGTGAAGTTAGGGCTTGTAGAGTTAGTACCTTGGCTCTATATGAGATCTGATAACTTTTTGACAGTGCGAGCCATAATTTGGTCTCTTATAGGCAATATGTTACATGAAAATGTTTTTGGTGGGATATAAATTATATTATATTACGAGTATTGCCCGCGGCTCCGCCCGTGTTCAGATGACCAAAAACCAAATTCTTAGGTTTTACATATTAGTATAATTTTACATTGTTTTTCAGTTTTTGTATTTTTTCTCAGAAATGAGATATTTTCCCGCAGTAAAAAGTATCCTATAAGTTGACCCGGATAACCACTTATCACCATACCAAATTTCATCAAAATTCCTCCTGTGGTTTTTCCGTGATGCGGTCACAGACAGACAGACAAAAATTCTAAAAACTATAGATTCGGCCTCTGTATCAATAATAATGTCTATTTCAATAAGATTTACCAAAAAATATTTAATGTACAGATTCGGCTTAGTTACAATTTGATTATATGTATAGATTATTAAATAAACTAGTTTTTCCAATTAGATAGAGTTTGCACGTTTTTTCTCTCCTTTTCTCCATCCTCTATAACCCAAACACTCCCTCTTTCTTAAAGGAACGCTTTAATCTTCTAGGTTCGGACGTCCCTGGTTTGCAACTTAGGTCTCAGAGCGACAACCGTTTAAAATTACCATCTTGCACCAAAAATTACTATGACAACTCTTTTACTGTAAAACTGTAAAACTATGTAACATGCTCCCCCTTGATGTTCGCCATTCAAACTTACTAGATATATTTAAACGTCGTCTAACTAATATTATCTATATTTTTAGCTTATATTATATATACGTATATATTACATGTATGTATATATTTATGTGTATTTATGTATCTATTGATTTTCAGTTATTTGAAATATTCTCATACTACATTTTGATTGACATGATATAACACTTTAGCTTATTTAACAAACATACCATATTTTATGGTAAAGTTACTCTATAATGAGAGAGATATTATTTTATCTGAATAATAATTATGTGTGTATTTATGTATATGGGTACATAAATATTATACATGTATATATTTTAGTCTTATGTATGTAGTTATATTTGTAAACGTAGTTTATTATTATTGTATTTAGTATTAATTGTACCGTTCTGTCTATGGTTCCATTAATCCTTTCACCGAAGGTTATCTGTAAGAGATTGGTCATAGCAATAAGACCTTTGCATGCCTTTTTGTTGTTTTTTTTTCATCTTCTGTATTCTTCTTTTGTGTGTGCAATAAAGTATTTATTTTTGTGTCTATCTAGTTTTGGACCGTGGCTTTGCTCACGTGATAAGCGGGACTGGCAATCTATAACCCTTGCCAAATTTTATTGAAATTTATTCAGCGGTTTATCGTAAAAAGGTAATAGATAAGACAGAGTTACTTTTCTATTTATAATATTAGTATGGATAATTTTTTCAGATAGATCAGTTTTGGTCTGTTTTTCAATAAAACGTAATTGGAGGCGCCTAACATCATGCAGAAAGAACATGGAGCCGCGACTGCAGAGGCTCAAAGGACTAAACGGAATTAGGTAATATATCATTTAGATAAGTTACATAAAATATTGATTTATGTAGTCAATTTTGTTGAAAATCCCACCCCTAGTGCCTAAATGCATTTCTCAGGGTGCGTATAAAAAAACAGTCAGCCATCTTTGGAAGTCCGCCATATTAGATTTACAATGACGTCTCTTTGCTTATTGTGTTTCGCTCATAAAAGTCCTTTTATCTTAACGTCCTTGCACGTAATTAGCGGAATAGGAGTTAAAAGAGTCGACTAACTTCAATTTTTGTTTGTAATGGCATATTTTATGTACTGCGATAATATAATATCAAAATTTTAAAGAAATATAAAAATAACATGTTCAAAATGAAGCTTCTCGTGCTGTTTAAGCTTGATATTATTCATTTAAAAAAAGTCGTGGGGAGCTGTAGACTATGATACTATTATAAAGAGGAAAGATTTGTATTTTCTATGTTGTTGTAGACCGACTTAGATGAAATTTTGTAAGATAATAGTTTGAGACCCTGGAAAGGACATAGAATATTGTTTATTCCGGAAATCATTCCTTAACGCTATGAAAATGGGAATCAACCTAGGAATGAACCCGAGCGAAGCAAGGGCGAGGCTCTAGTAAACTATAACCTTATAACTTATTTCAACATTTTTAACTATTTCCAGATGTATTGTTCTTTACGGTGTTATATTGGTGCACTGCTACTGGGCGTATGTCGTAGCAGTAGAAAACTCTCATGAATTGGAATTGGTAATTATGATCAATTTATATGTATGTAACTAGTTTTTGCCTGCGGCTTTTTACATGTGATATGTAGTAAGTAGCTATGTCCGTCTCCAGGATGTAATATATGGTCACGGCTTTTATCGAAATCTGTTTAGCGGAAAAGCGTGAAAAAGTAATAAAAAGAGATGCTTTCACATTTATAATACGTATTTAACTATATAAATAAAGTGATGAGTGAATATTTGTTTGTGCTAAACCACAAATCTCCGAAATTACTTTTTCTTTATCTGCTTTAAAAACGCTATTTAAGTTTTAATTTTTGGATCACGACGTTTCGAATGCTTTACCGCAATCATGGTCATGGAAGAGACTAAGGATTTAGACGTCTCAAAGGCGTTATATACTTACTGAACAAACAAACATAATCTCAGTTACCTGGAGAAGCCTGCTATTGAATTTGCTGTAAATTGCAATAGACAACGCTACAGCGTCGTCCTTTCATCATGAACAACACATTGTCTTATCAAGCAAATTGAATTAAATTGTCTTAAATCTATTTTTATTTGCTTTTCAGATGTTTCACAGCTTGCCCCTGTACTTATTCTTCAACGGCCCCATTGCAATACAGACGTACATAGTCATATGTGGATTTCTTCTAGCTTACAAAATGCAAATTTATTCTGAAAAGCATTCCACAAGTTGGCGGACAGTTCCGAAGGCTTTATTGTTGCGGTATCTAAGGTCAGAAATTACTTTGAAGCACTAACATAATTAACAATTGCGCTGATTCATCTAACACTTGACTTTGTATTTAGAGTTTCAAATAGAACTACTATTTGCTATAATGTAAGGTGGTTAAAAAGTTAAAATCATTCGAATATTATTTTAAAGTCAGCCAAATTATACTGATTCTGAACTTTGTAGTTCATCAATCACTTTTATAATTTTCATTAATAATTAAAACTATTAATGAAGATATAATGACACCGTTATATATGTACAATGTACATATATACGAATTAAAAGGCTTACAAATTAATGCAACTATTATTTTAGCACTTAACAGTCCAGAAGAGCATCCATTCATTTAGGATAAATATAATATGACCTATACTTAACAGAATACATATTATTGTCTAAATCACATCAAAAACTAAAATACAGTCAAATTATTAGATAATAAATTACTGATTCAACGGAGCTTTTTAAAATAGATTTCAATAAAGTATTTTAATTTTGAATCACTATGTTTCCAACATATGTATTCAAATTGTTTTTTAATTTTTAGGTTAACACCAGCGTACGCCCTGACAATAGCTTTGATGGCGACATGGTTAAAGTTTGCAGGACCTTCAGCACTATGGGAGGTATTTACTTGCATGTAATGTTTTGTCAGTCGGCCAACCTCCACTTAATCAGTACGGTAGAATATGGTCTGATCCCCTCACATTGATCTCAGGTCCACGCCCAGTAGTGGCAGATCAAAAAGAAAGACTGAATAGAGAATTCAAATTCAAAATATTTTATTCAGCATTAAATTATTACAATTTCATACTGAATGTCATTAGTCTACTACCAGTTTGTAAGAATGTTTATTCCAGGGTGTGTTATGCACAACTTGGTCTAAACACACCAAGATTTACACTTTGATAAATTAGATAATATTGACGGGTGAAAGGCTATTTGGCTTAAGCGACATTTGCTTAACTTTACAGGAAAGCCAATTTAATGAATTTTATTTCAAAAAAAAACATTAAATTGGCTCTCCTGTAAAGTTAAGAAAATGTCTCTTAAACCAAACAGCCTTTCATCCGTCGATATATTTGTAAACATATTGTATGACTACATTCAAAGTAGATTAAACCGTAATAATGAGACATTCACAGGTTGATGGGGTTCGTTGACGCCACGAATAAACACTAACAACCAGCAATAAATAAATCACTACAAGACTTCTTCATATTTCAGTTTTTTAAATATTTTTCTTATAACAATAAAATATATATTTCAATAATTTTTAAACCCAGGTCACAGCGAAGCCCTCGTTTGCGGATTGCCAGAAACGTTGGTGGATAAATCTGCTTTACTTGAACAACTTCGTGTACGACTCTCAGTGTATGGTTCATGGCTGGTAATATATTCATATTCTTATTGGAAAGATGTTTGGAAACATGATCAAACACAAGGTTTCTGAGATGTTTATGTGCGGATTACATTTTCAACATGACCATGCGATCATTTTGTAATTTTGTGGGTTGGCTCTACCTGTAACTACTTTATAATGACCTTTGAGACGTTTGAAATCTTAGTTTCTCCCGCAAAACAGCTTGAGGAAATCTGCATGTCCTGTGGCTGCTCCTCAGAATTTACTTTCGGGCCTAAATATTATAATGCAAGTATAATGCGCAAGCGCAGTGACATGTTACAGATAATGAAACGTTAAAGAAGATATTCTTATAATGCAATTATTTGTTTGCAAAAATATCAGTTTATTCTCAACAAAATGAAATAAATCTGTTTAATTTTTAGAAAGAAAGTATTATTCGAATATGATATTACATTTTACAGGTATTTAGCAGTCGACATGCAACTCTATTTTTATGGACTCATCCTATGTGTTTTATTAAAAAAAACTAACTATAGAAAAATTATCCTGATATCCATCTTTATCATCGGCTTTCTTATACCAGGAGTCCTCACATACATACATGATCTTCAAGGCGCGATGCTCTTCATACCTAGGTAACAAAAAAAATACAATAATAATAATTTTAAAAATTAAAACAAATTCACGGTTTTGATTATTTTTAATAGATTCAAGTCATAAAATGAAATTTAAAATGTGCCTAAAGTCAAAATTTACTTGCTTAAATATGTCACTTGGAAGGTATCAAACCCGGATAACAATAAAATAAAGTATAAGTATTTAGCATCCCCAGTCACTAAGTTTCAAATCGATACGAGATATCAGTCTTATTATTAAAACTTTTTTGTTAAAAATAAAAGAAAAGCTGACCATATGAATAATTTTTTTACAGATATTTAAGGGGCGTATTTTTTTATTTAACTATGAAATATATTTTTCTTGTTTTTTTAGTGAGGCTAATTATTTATTCAAAACTGAGCCAACATTTAATAAGAACTACAAAACGACGTATGGAAATATACCCAGCTTTGTGATTGGTCTATCACTTGGCTACCTGGTGTACAGTTGGCAACAGAAAGACATAAATATTGAAAAATATAAGGTAACCTTCGAAAATCTTCGAAATACGATTTTTAGATGCAGAAAATAATACTTTAAAAATAATTTATATTTTCGTTTTGCGAACACTTTAAAACAGATATCTCTCAATATACTGGAATAGACATGAATCTCATTAATCCTATTGTTCCTAACATCTCTGTTATAAACGCGACAGTTTGGATGAATAGATGAACGGATCTGGATGAAATTTGGCACAGAGATAGATTATAATCTGAATTAACACATAAGCTACTTTTTATCTCGGAAAAATATACGGTTTCCGAGGGATAGATTTGTTATTATTTTTCTAGAGGCAAACCTGAGCAAAGTGATATTGAGCGACTAGTATTAAATAAAATACATCGGCAACACTTAGAAATTATAAAATTGACATTTTTAAAAGGCTGTTGCTGATGGGAATGATTTTTAAGAAATTTTAATCTAAAGAATATGAATCCGAGGCCGGCTGCTAGTTATATAAACTGCCTCGGTGGTGTAGTGGCTAGCATGTACGGCTGCACACCCGGAGGTCCTGGGTTCGAGTCCCAGGTCGGGCCAAGTTTAGTTATTGAGTCTTCCTGTATAGTAAGTCTCAGTAACAGCCCGGAGTTGGGAAGTTGGCGGTGTTTTACCCCCGTGCCTCGGAGAGCACGTAAAGCCGTCGGTCCTGCGCCTTAACTCTCACCGGTCGTGTCGAGTGGTCGTCCCACCGGAGTATGAGAGTGATAGGAATAGAGAGTGCACTTGTGTCTGCGCGTACACTTGAGCACTATAATATCTCCTGCGCAGTTGGCTAATCTCATTGAGATTGGCCGCCGTGGCCGGAATCGGCTAGGAGAACATCATCATCATATAAATCAGAAAACTGATATGTGACCACTGACAATGGTTATTGAGAATATGGTTATCACTTATTTTTTAATGCTCATAATATACATAATATTTATGCAATTTATATTGTTTTCAGAAATTTCGTATCATATATTGGGCCTTATTCCCTTTGATATTAGCCATCGTACTATCGGGCACATATTTATATCGTGATGCACCGATAGATCCAATTTATGTTCGAGTACTTTTTGCGACGTTTACGAAGCCTTTATATGGAGTTACGATGGCTCTCTTGATTTGTGGATTGATATTTAAAATAGAGGGTAAGTCATAGTTACGTACTTATACCTTATGTATTTACTGAATGTATGTATGTGTATATGATAATTTAATAGATTGCAGTAACAGGATTTGGGCGTGAAAGGCCTGGAGACTTGAGTGCTAAATAAATATACACATTTTAAAAGCATGAATCAGACAGATCCATTTTTAATTAACAAAAGTAAGCAAGTGTGAATCTAACTCGCACGTCCACGGCATTTCTCATGTATGCAGTGTCATCCTTATTCATATTTTTTATTAGTTTGACTGCAGAAGTATTTAATGGCTCATATGAGGCACCTATTTATCAAATTTGGCATTATAACTCCAATAGTTTCTAAGTAAAGTAGCTATGACACACGGACAGACGGAGAGACGGACATGAGAAAATTATAAAGGTTTTCGTCTTTTAGCTACGGAACCCTAAAACGTTTTGCCGTCTATATTATCAAATTTTATTTTATTTTAAGTTTGCAAAGAATGATTCCCTACATTTATTATATATACTCCGCGAGAGAACTATAGCACACTACACATTTTTCATTCCTGCCGAAGAAAATATAGGGTTCGGAACTGGTTTAAAAAACGGTTTATTTCAGAAATGTAATGATTAATTCATCGCTCGTTCTTTAACCAGTTAATGAAAACGACCGGCTTAGTAAACCGAAATAACAATGGTTAACAGTTATTCTTAGAGAAAGCTTAGATTTCGATTTTGATACCGCAATAAATCGGTTAATTCATTCATAAGTAAGAAACGTACATGCATCCTTCTACTGCCAAATGTAAACACACAAAAACTCATTTTAACCGGTTAATTTTGTTCATGGAACCTAAATTCGTCGAAAACCGTTCTCCCGGATTTAACCGAAACCTTAACAGAAAAGCCATTCGATTTAAGGTAAATGACCAAAACCAAAATTAAACGGGTTTTCGAGCCTTGAGAAAATATCGCATGGTAAAAAGTTACGTTATGTAATAATTTTAGATGAAAAGAAGTTTTATTTTGGTGGGTCCAATCGATATAAATATTACTATCATGATTTAGGGAAAAACGAAATAATTTTAAGTCGTAGACAGTTTGTAGGAGGAAGGATGTAAAATATTGCCTGTGTTAAAAATACCACACTTATGCCTGATTTCACCATCATCCCATAAGCTACCACCTACGTATGGGATCCCTAGCTTAAAAGTTTCCCTAAACTAGCCCCTAAATTAAATTTTGTTTTACCATCGTCAGAGTCCGTATTTCTAGTACCTATATTTAGGTGGCATTTTAACATTTAGGACCCCTAACTGTCGGTGAAATAGAAACTGTCCCCTAACAGCCCCCTAACCATGCTTAGGGGATCCCTTAAACTTAGGTGACGTTGGTGAAATCGGCCATTAGTGCCGTACCCTATCATTACCTTTCAGGTATATACCGCAAATTTCTGGAATTGGATATGTGGACGATACCTAGCACGCTATCCTACGGCATCTACGTCGTTCACTTCTCTTTCATACGTATACACGTCGCCATGAATTCTCATTTGTTTTACATAACTAGTTATAATCTGGTAAGTTATTTAGTTTAATTAATATACGTAATCAAAGATAGATTTTTTTAATTAAATTAAGAAAATGTTCCACCGTTGAGTGTGGAATAATTATTTTTAAACTGATTTTAAAATCAGTATAGGTAGACAGATTCATTATTACTAAGGAAACATGCAAAAAATTTCGCCTAAAAATATATCTATGTCTAGAACCCTATTGCAATGCCACGTACTGGGTCCAATTGTAAATCTAAACCGTCCAGGGACAATCATGCAAAAAATCATTCAAATTGTCAAATTGTGAAATAGAAGAATTTACTATAACTATTATAGTAGGCATTACTCGGAAAAATCCTGTCCTTCTTTCTCTCTTTCTAGGTTGATTAGGTTAGGTTAGAACAGTGACCACAACGCCATAATTATTCCCACGGATATAATTTTGTAACTCTATTATGGTCAATTCTTCCAATTCACAATTTGACGGTTTCACTTTGATAGATTATAATCTACATAAAAATAATATCAAATTGTTAGCAGTATGTTACGGTTCACAATCTTTCGACAGTTTACAATCTCGCTATGTCGATATGTATTAAGCTTTTTTTTTAATGTTGGGAAATGCATTTACGCGTGCCACCAGCATACAGGTGGTTATGTGGTACTGACCGGCTCGAAAAGCCAGTACTATCCACTAAAAGCCAATAAAACCTTCTCCTGTCTTAATGGGACATCGCAGGCAAGTTCAAACAAAGAAACCCATAAACAAACTCTTTAGCTTTATACATTAATATACAAAATATTTTCTTTCTAGATTCTAATGACAACGTGTATCGCAGCTGTGTCTTTCATAGCAGCGGTCCCTCTCTGGTTGTTTGTGGAAGCTCCTTTCATAGAACTCATTAAGTATGTTATAAACTTAAACGCCCCGCCGAAGGAAAAGAAAGTGCTCAATATTGAAAAACCTGTTGCTAGCACTTATTTGTAAATAGTATATTTATTGTTACCAAGTATTGCCTGTTTTTTTTGTTCTGCTTAGTCCTATATATGTTTGCTAGACAAACAGACAAAAGTTCTAACAAGCTTACAAAAAAATATGTATCTACATTATGTATATCTTACTAGCGTTGTCCGCGACTCCGCTCGCGTTCAGTAGACCAAAAACCAAATTCTTAGGTTTTACAGATTAGTATACTCTTACATTGCAGTTTTTGCATTTTTTCTCAAAAATGAGATATTTAACCGAGGTAAAAAGTATTCTATATGTTGACTCGGATAACCAGCTATCACCATACCAAATTTCATCAAAATCCCTCCAATGGTTTTTCTGTGTTGCGGTAACAGACAGACAGACAGAGCCGAAACGGATTCAGACAGACAAAAAATTCTAAAAACTATAGATTCGGCCTCTGTATCGATAAAAAGGTTTATTTCAATAAGATTTTCCAAAAAATATTTAATGTACAGGTTCAGCTTAGTTACAATATTATTATATGTATAGATAACGAATAATGTTAAGAGTGTCACATGATATACACTCAAAAAAATTGAATTTATTTAAATTTTTCAACAATACTTATTTTAAAGAAAGTGAAGTAAAGAATTCTATATAATAATATCTGTGAGAAATTTAGATGTGGAATTATATCGATAGTCTCAACGTATAATCCTATAAGTGAAAAGGTAAATTTTACAATAGAACAATTTGAAACTTTAAAGGTGAATAATTTAAAAAATATTAAAGCTACTACGCTATAATTTGGCGTGTAATTTATTTACGACTTACAATAAATTAAATAAATAATTTTGTCATTTTCTTTACTTTAAATATAATAAAAATACAATAAAAGATATTTACCTCAGAAAATTAAAAGCACATATCTAAGTAAATAACATTTATTTTAATTATGCAAAATCTCCCATTTACCTTTTATAGATATTTACGCTTGTCATTTTTTAAATTAGTAACTAGTATTTTGCCGCATATATGTATTATTGATTTTCAAGTTTGAGTTCAATGTATATATAAAAAAATCACTTATTTATTTTAATGATTTTTTTATTTGTAACTAAAAAACTGTTCATTATTATAGAAAAGTTGGTGAAACGACGATAATTTAATAATTTCTCGTAATTTCTCTTCTTGATCTTAATTTGTTAACCAATTTAATTATGGTTAAGTAAATATATAATTTGGTTTTAAATCAATCAACGAATATATTTAGTAAAAATATCAGAAATTTATTATATTATAAAATTTAATGGCATTGAGGATTTAATGAACAAATATTCTTCATTGGAAAAACCAAACAAAAAGTAAAAAGCGGATTTTCAAAAAAATATATATTGATAATGTAGTACAAGAATACATGAAATTATAAAAAAATAGAAATAAATTATTTTTCATGATTTTACAGGGGTGTTCCTAAAGTGGCACAATGGCCACATACATACTACAATTGGCGAAATATGTTTTCATATGGATTTTTTTTTGTTTTTGCAACCCCGATGACCTCCGATATGACATAAAACTAATCACACTAATTTCAGCAAATTTTAAAGGGTCGTAGTCAATGCCATCTGAATGTATACCTTATTATGTTATTATATATTAAAAAAAAAAGATTTTTGAAAATTGATCCCGTCTTAATGGGGCGTCGCAGGATCACTTACGCACTCAATCACGACGCCCCGATAGCAGGTCTGCCGAAGAAGAGCACAACAGCCACTAAACCACCGAGACAGTTTTCCCGTAAAGGTATATTGTAAAGGTAGATCGATTATTTAGAATTTATAGGTCTGACTATAATGACAGCTAATGTGTAATGAGAATATATGTATGTTTGTGTGTAGATATGTTGCGTATTTTAACATTTGTTATTTGTGGGTAGGCTGTCTGTAATGAAAAAAAACCGAAAAGATAGTTTTATTTAAAATGTCAAATATTCGCGTAAATCTAAGAAAGTATAATGTAGTTTTTCTATACTAATATTATAAAGAGGTAAAGTTTGTGATCTTGTGAGTTTGTGGGTTTGTGAGTTTGTGAGTTTTTGACGTTGTAGGGGTAATCTCTGGATCTACTGAACTGATTTTCAAAATTATTTTACCAATAGAAAGCCACGTTCTTTCTGAGTGTCATAGGCTATATATTAACCCGAAAAATAAAAAGACTTTTTCATGGTAGTCGGATTTGCAAAATAAGTCGTCGAAAAAACGGTCGAACGAAAACGTTTCTTACGAACGCTGCCTTAACGATGAGAGATATACGATTATGTTCTAGAGAAAAGTTGTAGAGCTTAATAATGCCTATAAAAAAGTCAGCGACACCATATATGTCTAACTTTTATATTTAAGTCACAAAAAGTAGTTTTTATTAAAAAAATAATTTCAATCGGTAGGTCATGTTTATTGGTCATATTATAAACAATTATAAATTCTTATCGAAATAAGTAAGTTTATCGTCTAAAATATTTAAAACAAAAGACTTTTCCCTTTTACTGCATATAATTTGGACAAATGGTTAAAGAGATAGTACAACATATTCGTAGCTATGGACGAACCCGAGCGAGCTGTTTGTCTGTTTTCCTGTTTGTACGGGCTAATCTCCGAATCTATTCGACCGATTTAAATGAAATTTTGTATGGTGGTACCTTATATCCCTGGGCAACATCTTAGATACTTTTCATCCCGGAAAATTAAAGAGTTCCCGTGGGATAGTTGAAAAACTATAACAACTTATACAGCTTAGTACACAAAAACTACTGATTGGATTTTAATGAAACTTTACAATAATATAGTTTATACATAACAAAAACAAATCAGCTACTTTTCATCCCGGAAAATTAAAATTAAAAAACTATAGTAATTTATACAGCTTAGTACACAAAAACTACTGATTGGATTTTGATGAAACTTTACAATGAATATATCATTAGTTATATTTATAGTTCATACATCAGAATAACAAATAGGTTACTTTTTATCCCGGAAAAATGTACTGTTCCCGTGGGATAGATGTTTTTGTTTATTTGTAACGTTTTATGTACACAACATAGACCCCAAAACAATAGTTATTAAAAAAATTGTCTGTTAGTCTGTTTGCCTGTATGTCTGTTTGTCTGTTTTTGCGTGAGCGTTTCACGCGAAAAGTAATGTACCGATTTCAACGAAATTTTGTGAAGTGATAACTTATTACTCCAGTCAACATTTAGGATACCTTTTGTATGTATTTATGTATGTATGTATTCAGCCCTTTTTAACGTCCCACTGCTGGGCACGGGCCTCCCTTCAGTACGAGGGGTATCAGGCCATAGTCCACCACGCTGGCCAAGTGCAGGTTGGCGGACTTCACATGTCTTTTGAAAACTTGCTTGGTTCTCTCAGACATGCAGGTTTTCTCACGATGTTTTACTTCACCGTTAAGATAAGTGGTAATTGTGTTAGAAATGATTCGCACTTGAAAATATCAGAGGTGCGAGACCCGGGATTTGAACTTGCTTCACTCGGTTTCCCAATCGAGCGCGTTACCACTGGGATACCACTGCCTAGATACCTTTTACTTCAAGAAATTCTTTCTTTCCCAGGGGAAAATACAATAACTGGTTTTATCGAGTCCTCTCTAGAAACCTTCCGCTGGCTAAGCCTTAAAACATACACTAAAACATTGTAGGTCTTGAAAAGTCCTACAGAAAAGTTCTGAATTGTATATGTCTATCTTCAAGTTACACTCGCAATATTTATTCTTATCTATCCGTCTCTCTATCACGCAAAAAGTACTCAACCGATTTAACTAAATTTTGTATAGTGATAAAACTTAGTACCCGGGTCAACATTTAGGATACCTTTTACGACAGGCAAATTATTCATTCATACGGGAAAACACAATAACTGGTTCTATCGAATCGTCCTTAGAAAATATGGCTAACGTTGGCTCAAGCTTAAGAGATAGATCAAAACATTGTGCAAGAAAATTGAAAGTCTTAAAAACGTCTATAGAAAAATTTTACATAGTATATGTCTATCTCCTAAGGTACACTCGCTATAACTATTTTCATTATTTTATATTATTATACGTTATTTATTCTATCTATACATATAATAAAACTGTAGAGGTTAAAAAAAAATGCTAAAAACCGAGTCAGTTCTCTTCTTACATCCCGAAAGAAGAGAAATAGAACAAATCCAGTTTTTTTTTTCAATTTTTTTGTTTCTCTGTCTGTTTGTCTGTTTGTACGGGCTAATCTCCGAAACTATTGAACTGATTTAAATGTAATTTTGCATGGTAGTACCTTATATCCCCGGTCAACATCTAAGATACTTTTCATTCCAGAAAATTAAAGAGTTTCCGTGGGATAGGTAAAAAACTATAATAATTTATTCAGCTTAGTACACAACAACATCTGCACCTAATTTAGTAAAATTTGGCATGCCTTATATTGCCGGCCAAACAACAGGTTACTTTTCATCCAGGAAAAATGAACGTTTCCAGTAGGATAGATCTGTTTGTGCTTTTCTAGAGGCGAACCCGAGCGAAGCGAGGGTTAGCCGCTAGTCACAAAATAAAGATATTAATCAGCCTGGGAATTAATCTTTTGTTCTGAAAATGCATAGTAGAATTTCAAATTAATTCAGCCTTATCTTATTTTGAATACAATATAACTAAAACACTATATATAATAAAAGAGTTTATTGTTGAGCACAATAGTGTAGTCAAACCGTAGACCTAGAGGAACTGTGAGAATGTTTGTTCACTTTTATATTTTATTATTATTTAATGTGTTTGATTATAGTTTAGGCATTATATACCATTTAAATGGTAAGTTTCTTATATAAATTATTTTTTTTTAAATCGTTTAAGATAACATTTCTGCATTGTTTTTTTGTTGCATTGTTGTCCATGGTGTAGGTGAAAGTAAAACACGGAATTCGAATTAAGACTTATTGTTTATCCTTATTGATCTATAATATTATATACGTGAAGAGCAAACTTTGAACTCTCCTTTTTAAGCATAACGAGAACGGAAGAGTGTGAGCTACGGCAGAGTTTATATAGAAAAGGTTTACAAAAAGTTGAACTGACTTGCTTTTTGCCATGGTTACACACAAACCACAAACACTACACCACAAATTAACAAAAATGAATTCAAAAAGGACATCAAAGTAACTTACAATATTTGTTAATTTTAATTTTAAACATTTTTATCATTTTATTAAATTTTATAATTAAATATTATTTATTTAAATTAGGCTGTTATTATTATAATTATTACATTTTTACAGAAAACTAGCTTTGCCCGCAGCTCCGGGTGCGTTTAGATGACCAAAAACCAAATTCTTAGATTTTACATATTAGTATACTCTTACATTGCAGTTTTTGTATTTTTTCTCAGAAATGAGATATTTTCCCGCAGTAAAAAGTATCCTATGTGTTGACCCGAATAACCAGCTATCACCATACCAAATTTCATCAAAATCCCTCAAGTGGTTTTTCTGTGATGCAGTAACAGACAGACAGACAAATAAAAATTCTAAAAACTATAGATTCGGCCTCTGTATCGATGATAATGTTTATTTCAATAAGATTTTCCAAAAAATATTTAATGTACAGATTCGGCTTAGTTACAATTTTATTATATGTATAGATTTAAAGGTTGGGCAGTAGAATCTACTTTTCAACCGACTTTTTCAAAAAGGAGGAAGTTCTCAATTCGTCTGTAATTTTTTTACTTCAGAACTCCATCTTTTATTAACCGATTTGGACAAGTTTCTTTTGTTTGAAAGTGATTATTAAAATATATTTTCGAAATCGGTGCCAGCCGATACACAAAGCACACCGACTTCCAAAATATCTGATTAGGTATCTACAGTAAATAAAAACTACCAAGTTGGTTATTTTTACTTTTTAGTGCGTTTTTAGTCGGTCGGTCGGTCAGTTTAGAAGTCGGTTTTTATATACACTCACTATCTCGTGAGAACTCTTTTTAACGTCATCTTATTGTCCTAAATTAAAATCCATGCATTTAATATTCAAATTTGACTGTGATAACTACCAACTTGCATTCATTATCCGCCATCAAAGTTACACCGAATAATGAATTTACGATTATGAATAATTTTTAAATAATTAAAAAATCGATGCTGAAGTTCCCACATAAGAAAAAAAATTTCACAAAACTATCTTGCCCTTTCTCGAGGAACCCTTTTCTTTTCTAGGATAAAAGTTTAAAAATTAATGACTTGAGCACTAAGTAATAGGGAATACGCGTGATTTATTTTTGATTTTTTTATAGAATAGCTAACATCATTGTATAATACTTACTTGGCATTGGTGTTTCTGTATTAATTACTTAAAACATAAAGCAAAGATTTTTTTTAATTTTTACTTGTAGTTTTAATGCGAGTGAAGGCGCGGGTTCTGCTAGTAATTTATATATAATAAAAAATTATCACCAGTAGCCACTTTTTGCCTCTTTTTGGAGAAAGTACCCCTCTAAACAAAAATTCTCTACGACGAAAAAAATTTTTTAAGTCGTAAAACCTGTATACCAAGTTTCGTCCAGATCGGTTGTAAAATAGGACCTATAGAGGAGTACCCAAACCACCACCACCACCAAACTGACAGAGGAAAGAAAATTTTGCCAAACTTGAAGCAGAGACGCTCGGCTCACTTCGCTCGCTGGGTCATGATGAACTCCATTCTTATTATTACCACAATCAAAACCATATGCAGAGCAATAAAATAAGACAACTAAACGAACCAAGGGCTTTTAGTATCTTCTTAGTAGTTTTAACTCTTGTATTTTATTAATAAATGGTTGATCCTTTTTACATGTGTGCTGAATTGCTGATAGATGCCTATCTGTGTATTAAAGTTTATCCGAATCCGTACAGGCGTTTCAGCATGAATTAGTAACAAATCTAAACACATACTCATACAAACTTTTGCTTTGGTAGTGATAGTGTGATATTTATTAGTATTTTCCCGCAGTTCAGCTCGCATAATATGTTTCTGTAAATCTTACTCGTAATTATCGCTTCTTTATTAAGAGCCTAATGATCTAGCCTTAATACATATAGGCTCGATCCCTACAATAGTCCCTGGTAAAGTATTTTATACACAAACTACTTTACCAGACCATATCGGACTGAGAACGGATTATAATCGGCACTATAGTGTGGACCAACACTAAGTCTACTACGGTGCTACCTCGCTCCGCTCTAGCGCGTTTGTGGGTGCCTAACAGTTGTTGTAGCATATAGCATTTATAATAGTTGGCAAATAATATCAAATGCAAAAACATTTACAAAAAATATTTCAAAAAAAAAAACAAAAAAAAATATTCTCAGACACCGCAAGAAATATTCCCAGATAAAACAACAAACATCAAAGTATGATGTATTTTAAGAATAAAATCACAGACAATAATAAATGTAGTTTAAATAAGCAGTATTTGTTTAATTATTTTTTTGCAGAGACAGAGCACAAGAAATTGCCTCCTCTGTTCGGACTCGACGACTATAAGAGCTGCATGGAAAACTCCGGCGTCTACTGCATGGTCGCCTTCGACCTGTATGGGGAACCCAACAATGAAATCTATACTCTTATACAAGTCAGTTTAAGCCCAAATATAAAATCTATTGCCATTTTAATACTGAACTAGATGAAGGTATTTTCCTTCTATTTCCAGTATATTTTTTTATTTCACCCCATTTTTTGACAAGGATAAAACTATTGTGGTTGCACTGATACTAAAAGTGGTACTGACATTAACACAGAGGAAGAAGAAATTTTTATTTAAATGATTCATTATTATACTATTTGTAATTTTATAATTCTATTTGTAATTTTAGTAAAATGTAATAAATTATAAAACATACCTCAATAAAAAATACAAAGTTAGAAAAAACAATGTCACATTTTATTCATGTTACACGACTAGTACTGCCTAAGAAAGAAAGAAAATAAAAAAGTTTTCTAATCGAGACGAAGAGATTGGAAGGCTAGTTTTAAACGTTTCACTTCATTTTCAGGAATATTCAAAGCACACTGTCAAACATTTCAACTATACGAGGCTGGACAGGGGAATATGTGTGCAGGAAACATGTCAGGACTATATAAAAAGCAATGGTCTCGATATAGATCAAAACATAGAATTGGTCATTGAGGGTTGTTTTAATGAAACGATACAACAAAAATATGATTTGGGCTCGAAATTACAATTTGTAAGTTGCGAAAGACAAAAAGACAAAAGAAAAGAAATCCAACTTGATAGTACAGATATTATAATGCTTTTGGTAACAGTAGGCATTTGTGTAGTAGTTTCATGGGGCAGCTATTTCGACTTATGTCAAAGAAAACGAAAAGCAGACAAGACATTGGAAAAGGGTAAAATTTCATAATCCTTATCTTTATGTTATATGTAACCCTTTTTAACGTCCCACTACTTAGCAAAGGGGATCAAGTCATAGTCCACCATGGTGGTCAAATGCAAAATATTGAAGAACTAAAAAATATTACAATAAAATCGGTTAAATACGAGTTAGTGTAACGCACCGATGGTTTCACCACATTGTATACATTTGGCTAAGTTTATAGTGACCATACTTGCTGTGCCAGCGGTCGCGGGTCCCACTGGAGGCATTCCTTTGTGTGATGAGCATAAATATTTGTACTCCAGTCATGGGTGTTTATATTTATAATACGTACGTATTTAAAGTTATATAATATGTGTATCAACTATCTGATATCCATAATACAAGCCTCGTAGCTTACCATGGAACTAGATGGTGATGTGTGTTCATGTCCCAACATTTATATATATATATATATATATATATATATATATATATATATATACTATACTACCTACTTACCTGTGTTAACGTGTGTCCGATTCACACTTGGATTCCCTATTTTTATTATTTGCTCTAATAACAATCACACTGAGGGTGTCAATATATTCCAGATCGCCACCCACTTCTATGCTTTTCTATTTTTCGAAATTTCGAAAAACTGTTGCAAGAAGATAAAGGTGATGAGAGACTAACAGAATTGAAAGGACTTCACGGAATACGGTAAGATCTTTTTATGACCAAAAGCATAATCCTTAAAAATAAAACACGCTGTATCTTGATAGTATTATAGGTACAATTAAATATCATTAATGGCGATAAACATGAAATTGGCAATAAATATGGTGAAAACTAAAGTGACCGAAAAAAGGTAAAGTAATATAATTTATATTTAAAAACTATTGTGTCTGCAAGTGTACTATATCTCGTTTATGACTAAAAAAGCTGCTTGAGGTAAGAACTTGCAAACAAAATATGTCCTGAAAAATAAAAAAATTACAATTCGTTATGGGGAAAACTATAACGTGTTATGAGCGAGCGCAGATGGTTGCTAGCGTAGACTCGGAGTGATGTATTTAACATTTTTATTACGAATTTATTTGTATTTGATAAGGAAATTAACGTGGATTGTGACTCAATAATTACTTATGCATAATCGCCTTTGAAGGTAGTCAATTTTATTAAATTACGTAAATCTTTTTTCAGTGCATTCAACTCAGGTCTGATAGTGTTGGCTCATTGCGTATTCTTGTTTGGAAAATATATCCGCGACCCTCTTGCTTTTGAAAAGGTATAGTGCAAAAAAATATATATAAAAGATTTTCTTAAATACTCTTGTATGTTCCTGTAAATTGACACTCTAGACATCATTTAGAATACCTACAGGTATATTATATTATGATATTCTCCTTCGGGAAGTGAATTAGATGTAAAAATATAATAATGGGAAGGGAAAACTTCCTTACGCACGTTGTGTACTTTTGGGATTGAGAAAAAACACTGAATTGCTTGACCGTCACTCTTAGATACATAGTGACGATATGTGACAGATAAGAGACTGAGAGAGTGATTTTACGCAGTGTGCTCGAGACAGATAGTGACGCCAGTTATCTATACATATAATAAAATTGTAACTAAGCCGAATCTGTACATTAAATATTTTTTGGTAAATCTTATTGAAATAGACATTATTATCGATACAGAGGCCGAATCTATAGTTATTAGAATTTTTGTCTGTCTGTCTGTCTGTTACCGCATCACACAAAAACCACTGGAGGGATTTTGATGAAATTTGGTATGGTGATAGCTGGTTATCCGCGTCAATATATAGAATACTTTTTACCGCGGGAAAATATCTCATTTCTGAGAAAAAATTCATAAACTGTAATGTAAGAGTATACTAATATGTAAAACCTAAGAATTTGATGTTTGGTCATCTAAACGCGGGCGGAGCCGCGGGCAATGCTAGTATTTTATACAATTGACATGTACTTATTTTATTTCTATTATATAGATAATAATCTTTCTTTTTCATATAAAACAGCGCAATAAGTGAAAATTTTATTACATATAGTAATAATATTAATATGTTGATAAAAATAATTTCTAATGTAAAATACTTTCTGAAAGATATTTCTTAACAACCCAAAAATAATGCTTACAAGTTTGTAAAGCTAAGAACTGACTTTTTTTTAAATGAAATAGTTGATTAAAAGATTACCGCCCGACATTACATTTTGTTATATCGTGTGTTATTTATATAATTATTATGACTACCAGCACATCTCGAGTAATATACTATGGTAGCCAAATATTGTACTATTATAGTTACTGTAACTGTCAGACATCATATACTTTTTTATTTTCCCTTTTTCGTAATAATGCAAAATAATTGATATATTTTTTGTTATGTTTTAGTTCTTCGAGTATCAATTATTCTTAATCCTTGGTGGCTACTCGAGCATTGTGCAATTCTTCTTCTTCGTCTCTGGCTTTCTCATGACGTACATCTTACAAATACGAGATGAAAAATACAAAATGTCCTTTAGAGATGTACCCCAAATTATATTTCTTAGATGGTGGAGGTAAGATGTTGCTTTTACAAAATGTGAATATGTATACAATATAAGTTTAAGCTATTTGTTAGTCTGTTCATTGTCAGTGTCATTTGAACATGGATTTCTTAATATCGGCTGATCGTAAGATTGGATTGTTGATTATAGGATTAAAATATAGCAAAATATTATAAAAATAAAATTAATCCAGACACCAGTAGGTGCAAAAATATTGAAAAAATTGTATATAGTTACGTATGTATGTGTGCTTGCGCTTATTTAATAAATAATTATAAATGTGATTGAGTTGTAGTACACCTAGACTCTTTCTATCCTCTACGTTCTTCTTCCTTTCCCGCCAGCTCTTTCATCTCAAGTGGTAAATCAAGAGTTTTAGTTAGCTCAAAATAAAAGAACATAGCTTACATAACTTATAAAACAGTTCGTGGTTCCTTTAAAATCCTAATCGATTCAAATATACACATTGGGGGCTTTAAGAACTAGCATTCTGAAAAAGAGTTTTAAAATAAATAAACCTATAAATTCTTAATAAATACTAAAAAACCAACTTTAAAAAAGAAAAACTATCTTTATTAGATAAAACAATGGGATTTAGATGTCTATGTATTAACAATTAATTCTTTTGTATTATTATTTTAGAATGACTCCGACATATGCAGTTGTACTAGGAATTATGGCGACTCTGTTCCGGCACGTCGGATCCGGACCTATATGGAAGTCTTACATAATTGAAGGAGTTACGTCGCAATGCCGAGAATATTATTGGGCTCATTTTTTTTATATCAATAACTTCATGATTAATGAAATTCTATGCTGTTTAGAGTCTTGGTATGTATTAATATCTTAAGTGTTACCAACAACAATGTTGTTTTATATTTTTACAATTTATTATTGAAATGTTTGTAAAAGTAGGACTATTTTTAGTCGTGGCATGACACCTATATTTACAACGACATTTTTTCTATTTTCAGGCATATTGCCTCAGATATGCAATTGTCAGTCCTTGGCATTATCGTATACTTCTGTATTCGTCGACGAAGCTGGAGGTTCAAGATTGGAACTTTGTCCTTTCTGTTGCTGCTTGGCATACTCAGTCCTATCGTCCATGTATTTTTCCAAGATTTGGACGGACTTGTTATATGCAAGCCTGAGTACGTAATTAAATTAATAACTTGACACCATACTTTCTTAGATTTACGCGAATATTTGACATTTTTATTAAAACTATCTTTTTGGATTATTTCGCGGATTTATTTTGATTTTGGTTCCCAAATGGTCTATTCAATGTATGGATAGATGCTCTTGGGAACCAAAAATCAAAATAAGTCTGCGAAATAATCTGAAAAGAAAGTTTTATTTAAAACTTGACACCACTTTTTCCGCAATTTTTTATTGCGGAAATATAGGGCAATATTGTATCATTTATCTGCAATTTTTTTTATTTCCAAAGTATTTAATTCAATGTTCAAGTCCAATAGGTACACCATTTCGGTAAATAGTTATTTATTTATTTATAAAAGAACACTAACAATATACATAAAAATCATTTCTGATAATATTATTTGTAATATAAGTACCTGATATGTATAACTATTACAAGTGTGTGTTTAAATTATGCTATTTTTAAGTAATCTAATAAGTTTACGTCTAAAAACAGAGGGGGAATCGTGAAAAATGTCAATGCTTGGTATCGAATTCTAAAAATTATTATATTTAGCCATCGATCAAAAGGAACTAGCTACACAATCCCATCTAATAGAAAAACTAACAAATGGCATCTGCATCATTCCTGGCATTAATAACGTCGACCACTACATATACTTGAGCTCCCAAATCAACAATGATGGCAGCTGTGTCCCCGAGATAAAAGGAGAATCGGAATTTCAAAAGATGCTATGTCCCGACTAAACAACATCTGGAAGAAAAGGGAAATTGGTATCAAAACTAAGACTAGATTGATACGAGCACTGGTTTTCTCTATCTTCCTGTATGGAGTAGAATCGTGGACAATATTGGCCGTGAAAGGCAAAGGATTCATGCATTCGAGATGTGGTGTTGGAGACGAATGCTGAGAATACCTTGGACAGCGAAACGCACCAATGCATTGACCCTGAACCAACTCCATATAAAAACTCGTTTGTCCACCTTATTCAGACAACATATTGTTTCGTATTTTAGCCACACAATGCGCACAGACGACGAAAGCTTGGACAAACTTATTGTGGTTGGAAATACCAAAGGCAAAAGATCGCGCGGTCGTTCTTCAACAAGATGGACCGACCAAATTAAAGACTCGTCATCCAAATTCTACACGGTTGTAAGAGACGCACTAAATAGAAACCGGTGGAGGCAGATCGTTCGCTCCAGGTGCAACCCTAATGCTGAACACGATCCTCAGACATGAGGGACCGACCGCAGAGAGAGAGACACAGTCCCATGCAAAAGTACTTTTAAAATTGTCACCAATTGTGTTTAGGTAATTCTAGATGAAATACATAACATACAATAATGTAAATTCGACCTTAAATACAATGCTTAAAGTAGTTTTCACAAAACTATAAATAAAAATCAAAAAAAATATGATAGAGACTCTCTTATCGACATAAAATCAAACAAATTCAACCTTACGGGCATGTCTCAAAGTCAGAATTACAAAGTGCTAAAAAAGTACAAGAAATGAAACAGAATCAACGCACATAACCCGAACAATTTAAGTAGACATGTTAAGTATGATTAATACGTTTAGTGAATCTTTAGAATTGGGATGCTTTATAACTCCTGCTGTTTGTTACGACTTAATTTAAAAACTGTTTTACGATGATTTATCGATAAAATATCAATATCTACAATGATGTTCTCCTAGCCGATTCCGGCTACGGCGGCCAATCTCATTGAGATTAGCCAACTGCGCAGGAGATATTATAGTAATCAAGTGTATGCGCAGACACAAATGCACTCGTTATTCCTATCACTCTCATACTCCGGTAGGACGACCACTCGACACGACCGGTGAGAGTTAAGGCGCAGGACCGATGGCTTTACGTGCTCTCCGAGGCAGAGAGAGAATAATGTGAAACTCCATTCTTTTTTAGCGTCCTAGATATGTGATTTATGCAATTTTTAAACGCGCACAGGCATGTTTACTTTTGAAGCATTCGAATGCTACTAAATTAAAAGCGCACCCAAATTGTCAAGTAGACGCTCATTCGGTGAGGATATTTTTTGTCGCTGATTGTGTATCTAGTTTTTTAGTGACCGATGTATTTAGCATATTTACGTAAAACACGGGCATGGCTACCCAGGTTAAAACTCACACCAGATGTCTAAAATATATTATGGACATTGTTCCTAGGATTTCTGAAGGGACCAGATATTGACATATGTACTTTCAATGAAATCTGAGTTCAGAACTCTATTGTGTATAATATTATGTAAAAATCTCAAGTCAAGAATTTCCCGAATTTATTTGATGAATCTTTTCCCGAAAATCACGAACGGACAAAATATTGAACTTATCCAATCTTTCATGATGAGGTTGTCTATGAGAGATTTTCTCTTCATAGATTATCTCTTATATTAGGTATCTCTTCTTACCAACCCCTTCACGTGTGTTTTTTCTTCAAAAACTATTTAATACCTTTGTATAATATATTTTAAATTTAGGTTCGAGAAATCCTTTGTACCTTTATGCATGCCTTTATGTCATTTTCTAAGTTTCGTACATTTTTTAGACTATACAGAACAATATACGACGATGTCCTCCGGAAATACCACGTGTTCTTTTACAACAATATAACTTGCTTTGTTATGGGAATGGCGATTGGATATTTGGTTTACTACTTGAAACAGAATAAAATAAAATTTCCTGAATTTAAGGTAGGTAACTTAATGGTATTTGAGCTTACTCTTAAACTTGTGATTTGGAGTAAGAGGAAGTAAGTCTAAAAAAATTCCAAGAGCGAAGTTCGAGTCTGTCTACAAAATTATACAATAGTTTAGACATGACGACACGTTTGGCTCAGTTTGTAGTCCCTACTTGCTGTACCAACGGTCGCGGGTTCGAGTACCGCGGGGGGCATTCATTTGTGTGATGAGCACGAATGTTTGTACTCCAGTCATGGGTGTTTATATTTATAATAAGTACATAAGTATTTATATCTAAACATACATACAATAACATTTTAACGAAGCCGAATCTGTACATTAAATATTTTTTGGAATATATATATAGTGTATCTACTATCTAGGATCCATAACACAAGCCTCTTAGCTTCCCATGGGTGATGGAACTAGACGGTGTTGTGAGTTATTAATGTCCCAACATATTTATTTATTTAGTTTTTTTCCATCCACTATATGCTACATTGAAACGACTGTACCTTACTTACAATTTAGTCGTTATTATCATACTAATTCATTTGCTAATTAAATGTGATTCTTGTCTCTGTTCGGCATATTTTTTTTAATTTATTGACTGCGAATCCCAATAAATTATTTATAGTTTTCCTTACTAGAGATAGAAATTTGATAAATTATATTAAAAAAATCTATCAGCAGTAAAGAAAAGTTCGCCGTAAGGAAGTATCATCCTGCCTTGCTAAAAATTAATACCAAAACGATCTATAATTATTATTTTTTAAATCCAGTCTCTAAAAAGATGTCAAAACTTCTCGTACGTCAAATTAAAAAAACCTTCCAAGTTCGAGTCGGACTCGCACACGAAGGGTTCCGTGCCATTGTCTATAAAAACGACAAAAAATCCCGTTTGTTGTATCGGAGCCCCCTTAAATATTTATTTTATTCTGTTTTTTAGTATTTATTGTTATAGCGGCAACAGAAATACATCATCCGCGAAAACTGTCTAACTATCACGGTTCATGATATACAGCCTGGTGAGAGACGGACAGACAGACAGAGAGACGGACGGATAGCGAAGTCTTAGTAGTAGGGTCACGTTTTACATTTTTGGTACGAAACCCTAAAAAACGTAGCTCGGACAAATCAGGGCCCAAGCTGCCTGTCTCATATGTCTTGTAGCTAGTATGTAAGGCTGCAGATCCGGAGGTCCTGGGTTCCAGTCCTAGGACAGTACAAGTTTAGTTATTGAATCTTTCTGTTAGAAAAATCTCGGTAATAGAATGGAGTTGGGCAATTGAAGGTGTTTCACCCCTGTGCCTGGAAAAGTACGTAACGCCATTGATCCTGCGTCTGATCACCCACTGGTCGTATATTGAATTGTCGTCCTACTGGAGTGACAAGAATAAACACTTATGTGTGCACGCATACTTGTGCATCATAATATTAAGTCCTTACATATAAAATTGGCGTTTTATATAGAAAAAGCAAAACGAAAAAAATATATACATTTACTCAATCAAAGCAATCTATTGTTATCTATGCACTTTCGTCATTTTATAGGTAGTTCATTCATTCTTTCGTTGAAAAAATTGTGGGTGCAAGGGTCAATAAAATCTTTGAAGGCGGGTTTTGACTGCCTCATCGGAATTTAATTTTTTTGCTTGCAAGAAATTGTCCAATGTCCTGGATAGTGGGCTAGACTCAGTGAGATTAGCTGCTGTGGTCGAAATCGGTCAGTATATAGATGATATGTATATAGAAGATAATATTTTTTGTTATTACAGATGTGCACTCTAATATGCTGGCTCATCATGCCATCGATATATGCTTTCTACTATTTCACAAGTTCCGTCTACGATGACATTGAAAGAAAATCCCTCACATGGCGCCTTCTGTACGCGTCTTTACATCGAATTGTTATCGGGATAATTGCAAGCGTTTGGGTTCTTGGACTCACATTGAAATTTCATGGTATGATTTTTACTGATTTTTATTGATTATTAAAAAATATAGATATAAATACGGTAGCTTTGTCTGTCAAGACGGCGGAGGTTCCGTTAGGTTTTACCTTGAGCTACACCTTAGGGTCCACACGGCCTTTTGAAATAAAAATGAGCTGTTTTTAATTCACACTATGACACACGTGAATGATATGTACATTATTAGAGGAGTTTAACCCGTAACGTTCATATGTAACGATCGGTTACCCCGTCACAGATGGAGCGTCACATATGGATGAAGAAACCGTTTTGAAACATCTCATTTAGCCATTTTTTCGTAAACGATATAAAAATTGCGTGTTTTTTAGAAAATCCCTGTCATAGATAAACTTAAAAAGCAAAACTCTAAATATAAAATTTGAACCAAATTGGTAAAGCCGTTTCTGAGATACACGAAATAAATGTATATATTATATGGAAAAAAAATGCTCATTTAATATTATACAATTTAAATATACTTATAGAACTTAATTTATTCATATCCCACATACATATGTGGAATTATAGACTATCCTATTTGTTGAATACATCATAGTATAGCTGTTTACGGAAGATAATTGCCCTTTAACTTGACGCTATTTAGTAGTAGTGGTTTATGTGTAATATACTTGTGATAAACAGACAGACTAGACTAGTTCTCTAATAGAAACTTCAAACTTTTACTTCCAGGAAACTCCTTATCTATATGGGAATGGCGAGGATGGCTGATACCAGGCAAGCTCTCGTTCTGCGTGTATCTTATACACGATAATATATTGCACTATATGATGGGCACGAGGTCCCAGCTGTATACGGCATCCTTCTTAGAACTGGTAAGTGATAGACACTTAAAAATTTTTCAGTAAGTTGATGCTTATGTCTTCGTCTATCTTACACAAAATCAAAAATAATGTTTCTGCTAAAAGATAAGGGGAATTTATGTATATTTCATGCCGTTTCATTTCATAACCATGCGAGTGGAACCGCGAGTAAAAACTTGTATATAAATTTCGCAGTCTCAGATTTTATTTTTTAACATTTTTTAAACCTATACATATAATAAAATTGTAACTAAGTCGAATCTGTACATTAAATATTTTTTGGAAAATTTAATTAAAATAGACTTTATTATCGATACAGAGGCCGAATCTATAGTTTTTAGAATTTTTGTCTGTCTGTCTGTCTGTCTGTTACCGCATCACGAGAAAACCACTGGACAGATTTTGATGAAATTTGGTATGATGATAGCTGGTTATCCGGGTCAACATATAGGATACTTTTTACCGCGGGAAAGTATCTCATTTCTGAGAAAATATACAAAAACTGTATTGTAAGAGTATACTAATATGTAAAACCTAGAATTTGGTTTTTGGTCATCTGAACGCGGGCGGAGCCGCGGGCAGTGCTAGTGGAAAATAATTTTAAAATTTTAAAAATAACATTATTTGTCACTAGGGAGATTCTTGAAGAAAAAATGTGTGGAATGAACGAAATATGACTCGCTCGTATGCGGATAATTTACTGTTGTATTAAAATTACTGAAATACAATATGTAAAGGAAGAATGGTGAATTTCTTAATTAAAAATAAAAATCTTTCTTTACAGTCCTACGTCTTCGTCGTAGTGATGTTCTGGGCGCATGTGCTGGCACTGGTGTTGCATCTTTTCGTGGAGGCCCCTTGTAGTGAATTAATGAAAATATTTATGAGTTTCAATAGGAAAAGGAAAGAAGCTTAGAGACATACAAAATCACCCACTAGATAATGTGCAAAGATATTAAATTAATGCTGAAAATTACCTTTTGTATTTTTTATGTATACGTATAACTAATGTTATTTTTATTTACTTGAAAACATTTAAGTACATTTTGAAAATAAACATTCTGTACACTTGAGAAACGAACTGCGATCGCAAGCAAAAGGACAAAGCCAAAGACAATTTCACGTTATCATTTAACAATAACATAAATGAATTTTCAAAAAGAACTCCTTAGTATCGTGGAGTTTTTTAACGTAGATAAATTCATTTACGCATTCCACCTGCATACATACAAGTTGTTAGGTGGGGCTCCCTGGCTATAGTATGGCCAGTATTACCCACTAAAATCCAACGGAAACTTCTTCTCTCATCTTATGGGACGTGGCAGGATGACTTGACGCACAAACAATGATGTTCTGAACGTTGCTAATTTGTTTTGCAAATTCAAGCTCGGTACCAGATCCAACTGGAATGCTTCAGGGATCTCATGATAATAAAAATGTTTTATTTCTTAACCTTCTTTATAATAAGTAAGTTCAACTTTTCCCAGTAACTAATCCGAAGGTACGCATATCGTTAGGCATAAAATAAAGAAAATATTACATCCAGCACAATAAATTTCAAGAAAAAATATACTTCAAAATCATTTATTTAAACACCTTAAAATATTTACAAAAACAACCATTATAAACAACTATATTTCATACATTAATTGCTATTTCTCTTACAAATAAAATATTATTCTACAATAAAATGACGGATAACATTAGAATATCTATCTATACTATAATAAAAGAGTAGAAGGTCGAATGTCTGTACATAGCAAAAAAATGCTAAAAACCGAGTCAGGGGGATGTAAGATGTAATAAACTTTACAATAATATAGTTCATACATAATAATAACAAATCGGCTACTTTTCATCCCAGAAAATTAAAGATTTCCCGTGGGACAGTCAAAAAACTATACTAACTTATACATTGCTTAGTACACAAAAACTACTAATTAGATTTTGATGAAACTTTACAATAATATAGTTCATATATGATAATAACAAATCGCCTACTTTTCATCCCGGAAAATTAAAGGGTTCCCGTGGGACAGTCAAAAAACTATAGTAACTTTTACAGCTTAGTACACAAAAATTACTGATTGGATTTTGATGAAACTTTACAATAATATAGGTCATACATCAGAATAACAAACAGCTTACTTTTTATCCCAAAAAAATGAATGGTTCCCGTGGGAACTAATAGATCTCTATTAGTGTTTTTATACAGGCGAACCCGAGCGAAGCGAGGGTGAGCCGCAAGTCTTTCATAAAAAATGCCTTCCATACATTTCATTCCATACCAATGTCAATAAAGGCATTAACATTGGTCTTAAAATATTATAAAATCAAGAGGTCAAGCTGTAAATAATCAGTAAATCAATAATTGTACTTTGAAAAATTCTGTTCGTAAGAATTATATAATAAATGTATGAGCGTCATAATACAATATTTCGCGCATCGAGGGTTTTGTTTCATACCATACGGCAAATAATTTATACGAGAAGCAAAATTTCCAACAAACAACCGTAGGAAAAGGTGACTGAAAATATATATGTTTGAATCTCCATAACTAAGTTATATTGTAACTTATATGATAACTAATTTCTATAAGACGTGTTCGTTTGACGGGTTCAATATTTTTGTGGGTAAAATTTAGTAAATAATATTTTTAAGAACTGTGACGAAAGGTGCTTAGAATGACTTTTTATTTCGAATTGATAATCGCAAGTTAGTCCCACTAACTAGAACTATATAAAAAAGCCCTGTCTAAAAAAGTATCATTAAAATCGGACTATCTTGCAAAATATATGATATATAAAAATATAAGCGACTTTTTAAAAATCTTAACTTTTTTATCTCCTCCTTTTTTCATCGGTAATAATATCACTTTAAATTTATTATTTTATTCCACCAAGGAAGCGCGACTGTAAGTTGCATTCGGCTGGTTTCTAGTACTTGTTCCACATAAAAGACAGTACCTATTATAGCCATACAAAGTGAAAACTAAAAAACCCCTTAAAATCACATTTTTTCTACGAACACTTTTATATATTTTTTTAAATCACCATAATACATTATTATTTATTTATTTATTTATATTTATTATGTCAAAAACAACTAGCACTAGTCACTACCAGAAAGCCACATGGAAAGATGGACATTGTATACTTAGAGATAAAGCTCCATTTTGAACCCTTTGTCTAGAATCCTCGAACCAAAAAGAATTCGAAACCCCAAAATCTAAAAAATATCTACAATAAATTGAAAAAAAAAGCATTTATATACTCGTAATACCAGAACTAGCCTAAATATATCAAACATAACGTCTAAATTTGAAGGAAGTCATTTTTTTTGAAATCTTTTCCCCCCAGCCTGACAATGGCAGCAAGGCAATTCTATTATCAATTTAAATTTATATGAAATAATGCAACATCGAATTGCCTAAATTATAATCAAAATAAGTACTTTCTAGGATTTATTCAAATATTTATTTCTTATTCGAATATTTATATGATTTTGGATTTTTTGAAATAAAAAAAATATATTTGCCCTTTCTACATATACAGGGTAAAACAAATCGACGGGGCATGCAAGAAAAGTACCTTAAATATTGAAGTTATCAAGATTTACTCAAAGGAAACATTTTTTTATTTTTAAAAATTATAATAACTTAATAATTAAGTCCCTCGATAACTGCCTTTAGAAAGAAAATAAAACAGCACCTTCTCACCCAAGTTATTCCACAATAATTATATTAACTACTATTATTATACATTATATTATATAGATATGTATTTGTGTATGAAGTAGTATGTACATATGTTTTGGTATATAATATGTTTAATGTTTTATTATATGTATATATAATATATATTTATTAAAGTATTTATATTTGAGTAACTGCACTTTAGCCTGCTTTTTAATACTATCTCTCTAACTCACTTAGGTTGACTGGAAGAGATCCCTTCTAGAGATTTTATTGTTTGTTACACTCTGTATTTTTTTACATATAAACGCAAAAAAGAATAGTATATAACTGCATTTTATTTTTAAAGAAAAAGCTTACTTGAACCGGGAATCGAATAAAATAAGAATGCAAAAAAGGACACCATCACTATTTTATCGAATTAATCGGTATGGATTTTCATTGTGCGATAGGTAAAAAAACATAGCGTCTACTGAAACCCATTCTAAGTAGAACGTGCAATGAACAGGCTATTAAAGTTAACAGCCAGTTTATTGCACAAACGACACAATTAATGCTATACTCTAACAGATATCCTAGATAACTCTTATTCGGGCTACACCTAATATGTACTTCAGGCTACTTTGCTTTGTCTGCTTATAAGTATACGTAAAAAACCTGCAAACATTAATATATATATATATATATATATATATATATATATATATATATATATATATATATATATATATATATTAATGTTTGCAGGTTTTTTAGGCACTGGGCACTAGCCCCGAGTGTTCCTCGTGTAAATCTAGGGCTGGCTACTCTACTAGCAATTATTATCCTACAAAACACTTAACAGGTTATAAACATTTCTTCATAAAACGTTTGGTAATAGCTTACATAACCATTATTTTTATGATAATTTCATGATTATACATTTATATAATATTGTTGTTGTTAATCAAAAACACCTATATGATCACATCATATCACATATAGATCATGCCATGACATCATTTTGTCGGCTTGAACCATTTAATTTGATGGGTGATTCTTGATTTTTGGCTTTTTGTTTGTCGTTTCTAAGAAAAGCTTTCCACAGTTGCACTGGCGGCATTTCAATAATAAGATAGACTGGAATCGCTACTATATAGGACATTGCCACACCTCCTATTAACAGTGAAATCTGAAAAGTGAATATCACACGAATATTATAAATGCGCAAGTTTGTACGTGTGTATATTTGTTACTCGTTGAAGCAGCTGGACAGATTTGGATGGAATTTAGTACACAGATAGTCTATGACCTGGAGCAATACAGAGTTTGGAATAAAATTTGTCAAAACATGGCGCTGTTTTTTTCCAAAAGATGAATACATATGTACATATATTATTTGTATTTTTCTAATAAATCGTATAAGGAAATTAACTAGGGATGTACCCGAGCGAAGTAAGGGTATATTACTAACTTATAGTATAAAACGATTCGAATTATTTGATTTCCAATTTAATAATATAAAATAGGTTTGGAAATGAAAAATTATTTAAATTTAAAATGCTTAAAAACCTGCCATAAAATTTTGGCTGTAAGTAATGCATTTAAACTATTTATATAAAAACTAACCCACCTTTTTTCAACCTCGATGACTCTATTAGTATAGTCATCTTTAAAATCGGTTAATATTTAGCACATCTGAAGTCCTCCACTTTTTAAGCCGGTTTAAATATTAATCTATACCAATATTGTAAAAGTAAATCTATAATATGTTAACTCATCACGTTTAAGCCGCTGAGCAGATTTCGATAAAATTCAGCATGTACATAAATTATATCTTGGGGATAAAATGGGCTACCATTGACCCCCGCCCAAGATACCACGCGAGAGCAGCCGCGGGCAAAACTGGTATAATAATATAAAACTCTGTTAAATTATAGAGTTAATTCTTACCATAGAGTAAGTAGAGGCGTGTTCAAGTTGAGTGTTGGTGACGACCGCGAACTTCAGGATGAAGAAGTGGATCATGAATACAGAAAAGGACAACCGTCCCAATATGCGGAATCCCGGCCATAACAAGGCGTTTCGTAAGATTGCTGAAATTATAATTACTTGTCAACTAAAACCGTAAAACACCTACAATCAGTAGTATAAGGAATCATAATGTGCAAAGATTTCACGTAATATAACAAATAAAATTATTTTTGGATTTTTTCGCGGATTTATTGAAGCAAAACTTC